GTCTGCTTTTACATCAGTACCACCCTGTTTTGATCATTGTCATTTGTAGTAAGCTTTAAAGTCTGGAGGAGTGAGAACTTCAAGTTTGTTTTTCTTTGTCAAGATTAGTTTTAGCTATTCAAAGTCCCCAGAATTCCATATGAGTTTTAGAATGATTTTCTTCTACTTCTGCAAAAATACCATGGGGATTGCATTAAATCTCTAGATTATTTTTGGTAGTATTGGTATCTTAACACTATTAAGTCTTTCAATCCTTGAACATAGGATGTCTTTCCATTTATCTTTGCCTTATTTCACCAACATTTTGTGTTGTCAACGTATGAGTCTTTATCCTGCTTGTTTTTTCCTGTTTTATTTACTTAGATGTTATTGTAAATGAAATGGTTTTCTGAATTTTTATTTCAGATTGATCATTGTTAGTGTATAGGAAAAACAGATTTTTGTATGATGATTTGGTATCCTGTTACTTTGCTGAATTCGTTTATTGATTGTAACAATTTTTTTGTGGAATCCTTAGTATTTTCGATATAAAAGATCATGTTATCTCTGAACAGAGATACCTTTATTTCATCCTTTCCAATTTGGATGCCATTTATTCTGCCCGATGGCTCTGGCTAACACTTTCCATTCCTGTGATAAATGAAAGTGGCAACAGTGGGCATCCTTGACTTGTTCTTGATCTTAAGGAAACAACTTCCGGTCTTTCACCACTGAGTACGATATTACCTGTGAGCTTTTCGTATACAGCCTTCATCATGTGAGGTAGTTTCCTTCTGTTCCTAGTTTGTTGAGTACCTTCTTCATTAATGGGTGTTGAATTTTGTCAAATGCTTTTTTTCTGCATCAATTGACATGATCATTTCTTCTTAGCAATTCTTTTTTTTTAATCCTTGAAGACAACAGTTGGAATAATGCTCATATCATCATAGTCAGACTAGGTGTTGTGTTGTGATGCATAACATGGTGTTTCATAAAACATCTGCTAATAGCACAGTGGTCTTACGTATGGGAAAGGAAGTTAAACTTAGTCAAGTGAAAGTCACTAGTCACTAAAAGGGCATTTGATTCGAAACTTCTCTTGAGCCTCAAACCAGCTAGTAAAAGTCAGCTAAGTGGAAACTGATGCTGAATTAAGGAAGAATCTAGTGTTCGGGACTTACATTTTTATTTTTAAATTTTCAAATGGAATCAAACTAGTATTGACTTACGTTTTGAAAAGAAGCATATAAACTTTTTCTGCAAATCAAAATGTATTCCTATGTTACATAGCTCCTCACCTTTTTGAAACATTGTAACCACACAGAAAGTGCACAAGTTGTAAGTGTGGTGGGCGGCCAAGAGTCCCAAAGCCCTTCATGACTCTCTCTAGGCACTTCCCAAGGTTGACTGCATTCCTGATTTCTCATATCATAGCTTAATCTTTTGTCGTATATCAATGGTACATTACGTATTCTTTTTGCCTGGCTTCTTCACTCAGCATTGTGCTTGAGATGCATTCATGTTGTTGCCAGGCAGGACGCTTTGTTCATTCTTATGACTGCATAGTATTCCATTGGGTGAATATTTACTATTCATTGTACTACAGACAGACATTTGGGTAGTTTTCAGGTTTGCGCTATTGAGAAGAGTCCTGGACATTCTGTGTTTCTGGTGAACATATAGACACTTGTGTCAGTTTAAATTCCCAGGAGTGGAATTACTGAGGGGTGTGTGTGTGTGTGTGTGTGTGTGTGTGTGTGTGTGTGTGTGTGTTTTAGTATGAAAATTTCCCAGTTTTTCAAAGTGGTTGTATGAACTTGCACTCTTATCAGCTGTGGATGAGCATTTCAGTTGCTCTATACCTTTGCCAGAATTCAGTGTTATCTACCTTTTCTTTTCTTTTTTGTTTTTTTTTCCTTTTGAGTTGGAGTCTCACTCTGTCACCCAGGCTGGAGTACGGCGGCACATTCACAGCCACCGCAGCCTCGACCTGCTGGGCTCAGGCGATCCTTCCGTTTCAGCCTTTCAAGTAGATGGAACCACAGGCACACGCTACTATGCCCGGCTGATTTTGTGATTTCTTATAGAGACGTGGTCTCACCAAGTTACCCAGGCTGGTCTTGAACCCTTAGGCTCAGGCAATCTTCTTGCCTGAGCCTCCCAAAGTGCTGGGATTACAGGCCACCACACCTGGCTTAACTTCTCATTTATAGCATTTTAGTGGTCACAGTAATGTTGTATTATGGATTTGCGGTGGCTTTTTCATTTCATCTTGTTTTGTTTGTATTATGGTTTTAATTTGAAATTTCCTGATGACTGGAAAAGTTAACCAACCATTTCCAAACGTTTATTGCCCATTCGGGAATCTCCTTTTGTGAAGTATCTGTTTCCAGTTTTCCCCATTTTTCTGGAAGGTTGTTGCCATCTGCTCCTCCTCCTCCTCCTTCTGCCTCTTGAGGCAGGGTCTTGTGACATTGCCCAGGCTAGTCTCAGACTCTTGGACTCAAGTAATCCTCCCCACCCCCCAGGCTCCCAAGTAGCTGGGATTACAGGCATGTGCCCTTGGCTTTCTTGATAGTTTTACAAAAATTTCTTAGAAGTTCTGGATGTGGGTTCTTTATGTCAGATATACATTTTCCAATTCTCTTCTCTGGCTTTGCTGTTCATTCTTTAAAGGTATCTTTCAGTGAATAGCTGTTCTTACTATTGAAGAAGTTCAATTTCTCATTTTTGTTTTCCTTTTAGTGCATTCTGTAATCTAAGAAGAATCTTCACTTAACCAAAAGTCATTAAGAGATTGTTTTCTTGTAAAATCTTCATTACCTTTCATAGTTGGATCTGCAGCCCATCTGGAATCAATTCTGTGTATGGTGTGAAGTTTGGGTCAGCATGCATTTTTTCCCTGTGTGACTTCTCAAACGACTCAGTACTACTTATTTTTACTTTTTAAGATTTTTTTTATGGTTGTGGGGTCCAAGTGAAGAACTGCTACATTAGTAGGCCGCACGCAGGCGAAGTTGGGCTTCTAGCTGGCCCTCGTTTCCCTGGTGGTGGACCAGGTACCCCTTGTGTGGCTACATCCCGCCTCCCTCCTTTCTCCTCTTGCAGGGCCCAGCAACTGCCAAGCCCACCCTGTGGTCATGCAACTGGTGTTCAGAGACTTAGGACAGAGAACATGGTATTCAGTTCTTGCTCCTGCGATCGTTCACTCGGTGGGGTGGATTCCAATTGCCTCCAAGTCCAGCACTCTCTGTTGAAGACAGTCCTTCTCCCGCTCCACTGTTGTGCCTACTGTCACCACTGTTAATAGCTGTGAACTAGGCCACTCAGTGACACTCTCTTCACTCAGTAGCCATTCTTCCACTGGGCACCGGAGTTACGATGTGGTCTCTGTTATCCAACAGGTGGATACTTTATATGGACAGGAAGGCACTCCTGCAAACGTCAGCACAGAAGTGGCGCTTCTGAGCCAGGAAATACTTTCTTAGAGACTTAACAGACTGCTCAGCTCAAAACTCAAAGGCGACACCGAGGCCAGTGAAAGTCCGCCTCCTACCCTGTCCCCCTGCTTCCAGTGCCCACCGCACCAGGCCTCCGCACGCCTCCCAGACCCCTTCTAACGGAACAGGCATTGTGCAACCTCTCCTCCCCTTCCGTCGGCACGGCTGGTGGCACCTCTTCTGCATCTCGCTCCGCTCGTCCGTCTCGGACGTCTCCCCACGACCGCGCACGAAGGGCCCCGCGCTCATGCCCAAGGCCCCATCC